CCCCCCCTCCCCGCCCCTCGCCTTCCCTCCCTACCCCACCCTCGTGGTCTGTGTACATTCCCCAGAAAGGGTGAGGCCAGACAGAAAAAACAAAGAAATGAATAGCCGGGAATTTCCAGCGTGAAGCTGGATAATGGGTGCTGGGAGCCACGGTGTGTGTGTGTGTGTGTGTGTGTGTGTGTGTGTACGCACATGCCTTGTTGTTCCCGGGTGTGTGAGAACACAGGCCGCATTCGCTTCTGCTCAGTCACATGCTTTCTTGGATACTGTGTTGGCTGCTGGGGTTTAAGGAAAGATCTGGTGCCAGGCTGGCTTTTCCTGCAAGCGTCAGCAGCCAGACACCTCTGGGGGCAGGGAGGTGTTGCCTCTGAACCCTGGAGAATTCCAGAGCGGGGCATGTTTTGCAAGAGAGGCCCCTTTCCTACCCTCAAGGGACCTGCTGCCCCCAGAGGACAGACTAAGCTTAATTTGTAGCAAGTATCTTGCTTTTTAGCAAACAGAAAGGGAATATAACATGGGGCTCTCTGGCTGGGTGACTTTGGGCAAGTTGCTTAACCCCTCTGGGCCTCAGGCTTCGCCTTTGTAGAGTGGGAAGAGGAACGGCTTACCTCGTGGGTGAGGATGTCATGAGATAATCCTTGCTAAACACTTAGTAAAAGGACATGTCGGCAGCGAGCTCTGGGTAAATAGAACCCACGATTGTGCAATAGTTATTCCCAGAGGGTTTGACACATGCCATTCCCATTGGCTTTTGTTATTGGACAGCCGAACAAGACTATAAAATCATAGGACTTCTATAAAGACATGCAGTCATCTTAGCTTTCAGTAAAGTAGGGTGAAAACATGTCACAGTGTCATGAGGCAGATAAGGATAATTTGTATACAGTGGGACCTTGACTTACGAGTTTAATTCATTCCATGACGGAGCTCGTAACTCAAATTACTCATATGTCAAATCAAAAAGTGAACGAGTGAGATGTGATGCTGGACTGATGTCGTGGCGTTCACTGTGACGTTCGCTGCGCCAATTAGCGGTGGGGTATCTGAAGCTGGCTCGTAACCCGAATTTTAGCTCGCAACTCAAAGCAAAACATCGGCCGAGAGACGGCTCGTATCTCGAAAAACTCGTTAGTCGGGAAACTCGTAAGTCAAGGCCCCACTGTATAGTGTG